TCCCTCCCCGATCCCTTAAGGGCCGCTATATATACGCAGGCTATAAAAAAGTATTTTTGTTGACCGGCTAATTCTGAAATTCCACTGGAAATCTTTTAGTGAAGGCCTGTGGTCAATATTCTATGTTTAATTTCTTTTCTTACATTTCTCGTCATAAATATTCGATATATTTAGTATGTGCCTCCCACTGGAAGCACAATGACTGACATGACTGACAACAACCATGTAGGAAAGGTACATTGTATAATTTCCTATTATGCAGGGGCAGATAATTATCAGCAGTTTCAATTATCTTATTTCAGCTACGTAAAATGTACCCGACCAAGATTGATGAAAATGGCCAACCCTGGAAGCTTCCCTTTTTGCCAGGTATTTAATAGTTATAAACCAAAAGTAGAACTACATACTATTAGCTAGAACCACATAGCTRTGTAATAGGATAAATGTTAACACTAGCRTAAAAAGCACTTGGAAGAACTTACTGAATGTTGCATCAATCCTTYGTCGGAGTTAAACCAAAAATGCTTATTGGGTACCTTTAATCCCAATGGCTAAGTGCATTAATTTTGTCAAAATGTAAGAGAGTCATATTTTATCTGTGTTTTATAGGAAGAATAAGAATTTTTAATAAATCTGAACACAAAGGAGAGAGGACACCTATCCCAGACATTGGTGACTACACYAGGTGAGCTGGTGGTGATAACAATTATTGCTGCAATCAATTGTTCAATGTTTTGGATAGCAGATAACAATATTTTATTGTAGTCAATGGTTAACTTTCTTGCTTGCATATTATAGTCTTGTTCATAAAAATAAATTTAGAATTCAGCAGTGGTTATTAATCCCTTATTGGGAAAAACCCATATTATCCTGACAAAGCAGTTTGTGTTAAAGAAGATTTTTTAAGGAAAAAGGTGTTTTTACATCCTATCATTTGTTTGTTTTCCAGTATTTACACCTTTTGCTGTTCATTAACCGTGAAGGAACTTTCAATCAAGCAAAACTGCATTGCCTTTAGCGCATCTTGGTAAATAAGTTTGCATATGGTTGTACCACTGGACTGCTTTTTGAGGTGTTATGGCATTAACGTTTCTTGTGGCARCTCTGAGTAGGAGTTGTTTTCTCCACTCGCCAAGTGGAAGGCCTTGTCTTCTAGCTTCGCCTCTATTATTCATCATGCGTTGTTGTACTGGCTGAGATAAATGAGCTTTGATAGCTGCTTTGAAACAGCTAATAGCCTCTTCAACAATGTTGAGGAATGGGCTGTATGGAGGTAGTGGTTTAAGGTGGCTGTTAGGACCTGGGTTGTTTGCGTTTCGATGGGCTGGTGCATTGTCGTAGATGAAATAAACGTTGCCATTTGCTGGGAGTCGTTGGTAAGCATCATTTAAGAAGTTGGCAAACCTCTGAGCATTCATTCCTCCAGTCCTTGGTGATACGGCCAGAATACAGGTGACATTCCGCCCTCGTTGTCCAGAAACCTGTCTGTAGGCCCGCTCTCCCTGGGTTGCTCTTCCGTAGCTTCGTGCGGTTCAGATATTGTATCCGCATTCATCTACAAATATGCAATGACCTATCACACCTGTGTTGAGGAACCAGTTTGCATACTCAAAGCGACTGTTAAGCACATCAGGTCGGTTTCTGTCGGCTGGCAATCGTCTAGTTAGTTTCAGAGAAACGAGCATACCATCGAGTGCCCTGCCCACAGTTCGGTCATGAATTTGTGGTTTTCTTGGAAGCCTTCTTTGTAG